CATTTTTTAAATGGGGAGAGATATATCATAGAGGCTAATTTATTTGTAAAATCTAAAATAAATTTAGTGACAGAGCCAAGATTTGATTATAAGACTTTCTGACCTTGAAATCCCATTGTTAATACATTAATACCCTGCTCACCCTGTATTCTAGAATTTATTTCCATTAACTATTTGGAAGTCAATTAAATCCTTTCAAAAATAGAAATTATACATTGAATTATAATGAAAATAATAATCATTATTTATCATCTCACATCAACTAGCACCAGCAGTATCTTCATTTTAAGAATAAAACATATGAACGTCAAGTAAAGAGATTACCAAATTAATATAATAAATGAAATTTAATACACCTGTAATCTGAACCAAATATACTAAAATTTGCATGCCTAAATGAAATGGGGCTTTGTCCTAGAAATATAGTCTCCCAGAAAATGTTTATATCTTCACAGAAAGTATTTAGCAAAATTGTTTTAAATATATTTCCATATTGATAATGGAAATAGATAAATAAGAATTTAATGCCCATATACAAACCGCTTTTTAAACACAAGCAAAACACTGTTTATATCTTGCTTTGCTGGGTAGAGTTTTCATTAAGTACTTACAGAATTTCATACAGATAGAATCCAGTTTGTAATCTGTCCATTACAAGGATATTCTGGCTGGATTACTCATTTTATTCCCATGCCTAAAACATTAGCTAGCATTTATTGTTGGGTAAAATGTAAATAGCACTGGAAGGATAAAAGATAAAGGGGTCAGCAAAGTCTTTCTAGCCTATACCGTTTAGCAGAGAGGAAATCAAGGTTCAAAGAAGTTAACTGTTAAGATTGCAAAGCTGTTTAGTGGCAAAGATTCAGAAACAGATTATTTTACTAAAAATTATTTAGCCCCTAATTTATAATATCCTGCTAAATATTTAAATGCATCACTACATAAAATTTGCTTAATGTTATGATACAAAGATGAATCATCTTTCAAAACACATTACATTGTAAATGGGGTAGCAGACACCTTCTATACCATCCACCAAATGTTAGTCAGAAAAAGATGTGCTGATTTAGGAGAATTAAGAAGAGGTTACCTGGAGGGAAAAAGGTTTAGGTGATAGGAAGGGGAACGAGAATAGATTCAGCACCAACAATGAAACCATTTTTCGATGTCATATGATGGAGAACAATACTATAATTTAGTTAAATCATAGTATTACCATATGAGGACTGATATTGTGAGTCAATACAAAGTTTCAGTTAAAGACACTATTTTTGATACATCAAAATATAATGTTTTCGAGAATATCACCTTTTAATATCACTCTGCTCTCCTTTTTGTGTGCTATCCAAAATAAGGAAAATTAAGAAAAATAATTATCTTAACAGTCTAAAACAATGTAGTATTTTTAAATGCTTTACAGCCTTATTTCATGATTTTGAAAATTGAAGCATTTTTCTTTCCAAAGTTATCTAATGCATTTGTCAAAATTTTAAAAGTTAGTTGCTCACTTATGAATTAAGGAGGAAATGTTGCTAAACATCTCTGGACCCCTGAACTCAGAAATATAGGCTTAAATTTAGCCATTAAAATGAAGCCTGGCTTAAAATAAGCCTTCAACTTGTAGTTATTATTTTAACTATTAAGACTGTTACCATACTGTTAGAATAGTATAATGAAAACCAGTGGAAATGAAAATGTTAGCATTTTAGAAGCTGTTAATTACTGATATGAATAAATATTATGTGTTCCAAAGATACAGAGACTGAGTGATAAACTAGATATATACCTTTATACTAGGTATGGTTATTATGTACACAAAGTAGGCTTGAGATAATTTTCTAAACCATCTGTTTTTCATGTATTTCTGTGTATGCTTTTGCTTTCCTGCCAAATTGCTAATTCTTTATTTCTGTCTTGGCTCCAACACTTTCTAGTTTACAACATTTATTGTAATTAATAATTTTTTTCAGTAATTAGTAACAGTAACAAATTTCAATGTCTTATTTCAATGAGTTGTTGGATTCTATTTGAGTTCCCATATCTCCCATAATAAATTTCTATTTTGAAGACATATGATAAATAAGAAAAAATTCCCTTAGGTTGAAGCATGTGAAACATACTGTTGATAATTTTTTTTATCAATCTAAAAATGTCTACTGCAAGTTTTTAAGTTAAAATAGAATGTTGACTCAATTTTTCTTAACACCTGCAATGAGGTGTGGAGGACAATTTCAGATATTTTTGCAAACATTAAATGACCAACCAATATAGAAAAATATTTGATTTCTGATTTTTACTATTACTTGGAAAACTGAACTGTCAGGTAACTTCAATTTATGATCTCTGAGCTCTCATATTTGGATTATGATGTGGGTCTATATACCTAAACATACATTGGTTATATATGCCCTGTGTAGATATAAACAATGAAGAAGCCACTGGAAGAATTAATGCAGAATTCCAAGCATTTCTGAAAGAAAAAATTTTAATAAACCCTTTCTTGAAGTGGAAAGAAAACTGTCAGATAATTATCTAATTTTGTGATTAAATAATTTTCTTCCCTGCTTAGCTACTTCAGGTTATTTCATTCTGTTGACAGTGTCAAATACTTTCAGTTACAATAAAATAATGAAATATAATCCTGGGTTGAAGACTATTTCAAACATATTGTTATATTATACCATTATATAGTGATTAACTCGTGTCAGGCACTATTCTAAAAGTTTCACATACACTTAAATATAAAAGGGAGTGTGAGACAAGACAACCTGTAACAAGGAACAGAGAGAATTAGAGAACAGAAGTGAGAATTACAAGGAAAGGCACAATACTGAAATACTAAGATGCAAAGAGAATAAAGTGATATGGGAAAAATGTATCAGTAAGATTCTGTAAAGTCCCCCTGGAAAGATTTAAAAAGGGGGACTTAATTATTTCTGAAGTTATCAGTCAAGTAGCTGAAAATTAAGTGAAGTATAGATATAAGCACACTATCTTCAAACCACATTAAAAAATAGACTGATGCTGCCTGAATAGAATGATCCTTTGGTGTTAGTTCATTATTTATTAAATTATTCAAAGGTAGTTAATAGAGAAATTCAATTGTGAGGTTTTAGATCTTACATTGGGGTCATCACATTAACTCTGATCATTTCAGCGTGATGACACTTAAGAAACTGAGTAAATGCCTCATCACTATGTGTCTCAAGTTTCCTAATATAAAAAAAATGGGGATATTTTATAAACACTGTCTCTGTAGGACAATCATGAGGATCAAATAAACTAACATATAGTATCAATTATGAATAGTGCCCGGTAATCTAACAGCTACAGCTGTGTTAGTAACTAGGAAAATATCACAGTGCTTGGTATGTGGAGTTTACAGAATAGAAACAACTTCATAACATTTTATTTAGCGTTTAATTAGGACTCTCAAAAATAGTTTTTAGGGCTGGAGCAATAGCACAGTGTGTTTGCCTTGCACACGGCCAACTCAGGTTCGATTCCCAGCATCCCATATGGTCCCCCGAGCACTGCCAGGAATGATTCCGGAGTGCAAAGCCAGGAGTAACCCCTGAGCATCGCCGGGTGTGATCCAAAAAAAAGCAAAAAAAAAAAGTTTTGAATAAAACTTCATTATCTTTATAATGCAAGTGTTCTGGAGTAGACGGATGCCTTAAACAAGAGAAAAAAAAGTAACTATTTAAAGATTGTTTTTAATTTAAGAAAAACAAGCTTTTCCCATGGAAGATGAAGGTGTTTCTTTCAAAGGATATTCCTAACTTAGGTTTTCTAGCTAACTTTAATGGAAAAGCTTAGACACTGCAGCATTCTTAAGCACTGCCTGTGAATAATCACTTTGAGTAGGCACCACCCAATTCCTTAGCTCACCTGAGCCAAGTCTTCCTAACTTTCAAACTTCAAAACCTCTAGGGCTTTGCTCATACATATAATAGCACACAACAGCACATTAGCACATTAATTAGTACAAAAGCACACGATAGCACATTAATAAATGGTGATTACTTTCTCTTGATAAATTTTCAAGGATCAAAAGAGGTATAAGAATACAAACCTAGCACCAAATTGAAGGAGTGAGTAAATTCTCACAGGTTAAGAATTTACAATTGATGAAAATGAATGTCCTCGAGCTTGGAATTACAATGATTTGGTGATTGGACTATTATAGTAGTCCACTAGCATATACGTTTCCAAAGTGAAATCTCAGAATATATATCATTAAACAATAAGGAATAAAATACAGATGGCTTCCTTTTTATAATACAAATAATTGTATCAAGTATCAAATATGATATTATCAACATTATTTCATTAATAAAATACTACTAGGTTAAAAAGAGAAATATTTAATATATATGCATTACAAAAGACTACAAACAGAAAAATATTTCTAAATTTAAAGAAAAATTAGAATAGAATTTCTAAAAACTTTTTTAAAATGAGTCCCCACTATAAATAAAAATATTTCAAAGATTATCATTATTTTAAAATATGTCTAATTCCATATGTTTAAAGACATAAATTTCTAAATGTCTTCTTGGAACACCAGAGAAACTTCAAGATGGAAAAGACAATATAGAAAAACCTATTATTCAATGGGCTTGAAGGTTTCATAGGCCTTGTTTGGCAGTAAGTTATGGTATGGATCATAAAATAACTACAGAAATAGCATGACAGGCAATGCTGTAATTATTTTTTTAATTTTAAAGGGGACGTGAAACTAAATTATTAAAATGTATAGCAATTAAAGTATGTATACTATGAATGATGCTATTTCAACTGTTACAGTATTTAATGAGAAAAACACCTGAACCAGTTTTAAGTGACTGGCTCTGAAAGAAATAACAAATGAATATTTTACTAAACTGATAATCTAATTAAAGTAGAAAAGTTTTCTAGAGATTAATTTTTTATTCCATTATATTAAATACACTGGTACCCATACTAATCCTTTTACTACATAGATATTTTTACCATACCTGTGGGTAGCTGTCAGTCCTTGGCAAAACTGATATGTCATAGGTGGCAGCAAAATGGCTTTTAGCTTGTTGTATTTGGCCGTAACGTTCTCTTTTTCTCCACTTGGCCCTTCGATTTTGAAACCAAACCTAATATTTTCAAAAAAGTAAAATTTTTAACTAAGGAATATCTAACAATGCAAATATATTCAAAAACCTAAGTCAGAAAAGTCAATTAAAAAAAAACTACTAATATGGCAATTATTTATGTCAGAAAAGGAATACAAATTTTATTTTCTGTTGTACTGTGATAGTATGAGTGGTATGTCCATTAAGCTCAAAGTGAAGATACTTTGAGCATATGTAATTATTGTGTCTGAGCCTCCGTACTCTCTCATTTATGGAAAATGCAAGGATTAGATTATATGATCTTGAAGATTCCTTATATCTTCATGTGATCATAGATAATCCTCTTCCACAGGAATGCTGCTAATCTGGAAGACATTCATAAATTCAATTTGGGATATGTATATTGGGATATGTATATTAACCAAGCCGATCTATAACCACATTAGTATCTAAACCATTCAAAAACAATTATCTTTAAAATATGCCAGAGAAGACTCTTGTGAGTTGTACCCTTACGCAGAAATCTTAGAAAATTTTAAACATAAAGATGACATCTAAGACATATGACAGCAGTAGAAATATTACTATTATTTTAAAACAGAAAACATTAAGAGTACACTTTGAGAAACAGAGATTAGGAAACACAGAAGAAATGAAGTAGCATTATGGTTTTAAAATATACAAAGCTGCCAAAAAATAACCTTCATAACTTTTTTTCTGATTTTAAAACAGACAAGAAAATATGAAAAAAATAGAGCATCTAGAACCAAGTATCAAGAAAGCTTGTTAGTGCAGAATCAGAACCACCATAATTCTCACAGAATTAATTATTCAACAATTCACATTTGTCAGCTCTCCAGAATCTTCATTTTCTTATCTTAACATATTAAGGGGCAATATAGAAAATTGGATCCAGTATGTATTATAAGACGTTTTTAGTAAAAATTGCAGGTACAACTTTTGGGAAGCTCTTTAATCTAACAGAACCATATTCAAAATATAAATTTAGGAAACAAGCTGGAAATCATAAAGACTTTTTTTCCTGCATATTCAGTTCTAACATCTTGTATCTGTCCTTCACCTTTAGAAAAGCATTCTAGAACTCAGTTTAATAATTTAGGTACATATTTCAAATTAAAGATGGCACTTTGAAGAGTTTTTGGCAACTGAAACAGAGAAAAGAACACTATATATTATCGCAAATTTAATGTGGTACTCTGAAGAATGTGCAGTAATTACAAAATAAGAGAGCTACCTTATCAGCAGCTTCTGAGAACCCAGCTAATAACTGTATTATCCAGTAAGGTCAGGCTTAAGACAAAGTCAACAAAAAATAAAAGATGAATTTATGTGTCTCCAAAGACAAGCACAAAGAAAAAATACTAAAAAAATTCAGTAAGGAACTGTTTTGTTTTGGTTTTTCAAAGACCTTTACAATCTCCTAAAAATGTGTGCCAATTACCACTCTAATGTGAAAAGCAGGAAAGAGAAACTGAGTAAATTAGGTTCAGGTTCTTTCTCTGTGTCTGTTCCTAGACAAAAATTAATTAGCATCTGATAAAAGATAAAGGGGGACATGCACTGTCCGTAGAGTATGTTCACACAGTTGACTATATGAACACAGAATCAAAAACACTTATTTGTGTGGGACTCACATTAACACTTGCTAATTCTTAAATTCTTTCTGAGGTGCAACTCTCTCTACATTTTCTTTCTGCACCTTAGATAAAGTAACTATTTGCCTTCATAAGCCAAAGTAAAACTGCAGATTTTTTTTTGTTATTCATCAATTGCTGACTTTAATGATATAAGGATCTTACAGTGGCTAAATCTTCAGAAGGAATGCAATCATTGAACTGAGAATAAAATTTTTCATTAATTTCCCTATTTTAGAAGTTCATGAGATTTTCAAATTTCAGTATTTTCTTACTTGGAATACTAAAAACACAAAGAAAAAAAGCTGTTCTCCTGAGTTACTGATACCAGGACATGAAATATATTTTTAAAATATCCAAATCAATTCAAAATAAAATATATGATTTTATCCAGTAAATTTTTCTTTTTCAAAAAAAATGCTCTTAAAGAATCATCCAAATTGATAATTATATAACTGAGTATATATACATATATAAATTATTTAAGACAACGATTCCTAAAGCCTCTCAATAAACATGTTATGTAGAAAAAAATGAAATGGTTCTTTGGGTAACTATTAAAAATAGGTTATTATAAAAGAGCTGTGTAATTCTTAATTGCACATAAGAAAAATAGATTATGTTGTATATGATATTTGAGAATTTTTGAGATTACTTCATTGTTTCATTGTTTTATTATAAACCCAATGTTAATAAAATTATACATGTTTGGGTAATTATGTAGATAATTTACCAGTTCATACTATAGATAATTAACCAGTTCATCTGAAAAGAACCTCAATGTCTGAAAAAAAAATGGAAAATTTACAATAAAAAGCACGGAATACTAGAACAGCTAGTGATGACTGTTAGTCCTTTAAAATCACTTTTTAAATCAGATATTATGACAGTTTGTACTTTTACAGTAATTATTTGCTATGCCTGTGTAATAACTTGTTCTTTTATGGTTTTGTGAGTTGTTTAGCCCTCTGCGAGTAAAAAAAAAAAGAAGAAGTTTTATAGACCTAGAAGTGTCTATTAATTATTTTGCTCTGTGTCTTTAATTGAAGAATCAGTTTATTCCCTTGTGGCAATTCTAATATTTTTTTAATGTTACCCCTACTCAGATTCTTCCCACACATACCCAGGCCCATTTGATTCCTACCTGGACCCTGGCCTCAGTGAGCTCTGTCCTCAGAGCAAGCTGTTCTCTGACATATACATCTGGGTAATGGGTTTTCTGAAAGACCTTCTCCAGCTCCTCCAGTTGTAGGCTGGTGAAAGTGGTTCTGTGTCTCCGCTTCTTACTGCTGGAAACATTGCTGTCACATTTATCCCCAAGTTCATCCAGTTCTCCCTTCTCTGGCATTCCTTTCACTGGAGACATTCGGAGACTGTTACAGTTGTCCATAGCTCTATTCAGTTCGGTGTGAAGAGGCTGTCCTTCTACTTTAGTGATCCCATAGTTCACTGCATCCAGAGGAGGAAAACAACAATGAGAAACTGAGAAACATCTTGACAAAAAGAATTAGGCTGAAATAATTTAAAGTGTTAGGGAAGCAATCTGTTATTGATCCATTGTGGCAGTATTAATTTGATCATCATTGCATCATGGACAATTATTAATTTATTTTGATCATGCATACAATCCTTGAAAATGTATGTGAGAAACTTATAATTTGCCAAAATTCACAGCTCTACTTTATAGTGCTAATGTATTTTTATACATGTAATTTATAATTAAAATAAAGCAGTTATGCTGAAACATCTCTAGATTTTAAAATAAACACTAAGTGAACATAATTATTGAAAAATAAACCAAATTTAAATATAAAATATTCACAACAGATGAAATTAACACTTTCATCTGTTGTGAATATGTTATATGGCCCAGGAGATATATTTCAATTTTAAATAATATCTGTAAACTGAAATCCAAACTCTTATCCAAAGTTAACTTCCTCCTCCACACAAAGCCTATGGACTACAAATTTAAGATATTATTACTTCTATTAGTTCAATCATATATTCATGTCAACATTTAATTTTTCAGTGATCTATTAATAGTGATTTTCAAATCAATTTCTAGAAACACTTCCTATAAAAAAATTTTAAGTACAATCTTTTTCCTTGAAAACTCGCATTACTCCGAAACGTCAGATTTGTCCTTATCTCATTATATACGTTTTAGTGCAGAAAGCTCCATTTTTACTCTAGTAAAGTATAAAAATTAAAACAGCCATTAAAAGATTGTAGAGGATGTCATCTGGCATTCTGTTTAGGAATGTTTTAATTTCACTGATTTCCTTCAGATTTGATTGCATGCTTGCACTGTGATAAAAAACAAAACAGTTCCTATGGCAAAACACACGCAACGGACACATAAAGCGAAGTGGAAGACATTTTTCTTAAAACATAAAGTCGACCCATCCAAAAGAGCAATTTTCAATGAACTCACACATTTGGGATTTTTAAAATGATTCTCATTATTTATTTGCATAATGTCTCTAATCATTATACAAATGGATGAGCGACTATAAATGCCCACAAATTCCGTAAATGTCTAACAGTTTCTATGCCAAGAGTTGATGTAAAACTAAACATAAAGAAGAGCCATGCCAGATTAACAATAAGGTTTTGTCTCTGTGGGTAGAGTTAAATCGGGAACTTCGGTAATTAGTAAGGGGGTGGGGGATTGTTCTGATGCTAAGGGCATCTCAGGAGAAAGACAGGAACTTCCTAAATTTCGCGGACTGTTTACCCACATGCGTCTTACTCAACGCTTTCCTACTAAAATTCTTTCTAACAGTGCCATGTTGTTTAAAAGCCGATAAAGTGATCAAAAATCATGTTTATCTTTTTATTTTGGATTCCCGACAATTAAAAATATGATTAAGCAATGCCTGGCAGTCAAGGAAAGATACTGCAGGTCCATTTTAAAAATCCCATTCACTTTTTACGTGTACTTAATAACCACCAAATGAAATAATACAGGCAGAAATCCCCTACTACCTACCCCACCCCCGAAAACTGTAAATACAAATAGGTTTCACGACTTTCTCTATACAAATAAGAAAAAAAAAACTGCTTTTTTTTTCTATCACTGGTGCTTTAATTTCTAGTTTGACCTTACAGATGAAGTAACTTTCCACGTTGAATCAAATAAAATATATGAGGTCGGTGTTTTAAGTCCCCTACATAGAACGCATTTATGAAACAAGTTTCTATGAGCCAGCGCTTTGCCAGATTTTGAACCTCTATTAAAATAGGGGGCGGGAAGCTTGTTGTAAATATTTCACACTTAATTCGTTTGTTATTTTAATGCAACCCGCTCCTTACAGTTTTACTGTGCAATGTATACAATGATAAGGAAAGTCCTCTTGGAATTGTAAACTTGCTTTAGCTGTCGCTCTCTGAAAAAATAGGTTTGTATAGGGTTACAAGATAGAAAAGATAGATGGTTTGTTTTGATAACATTTTGACTTTGAGATACTCAGCCATTCAAAGTTGAAGACTTCACCCAGGAGCATTCCAAAAAGGCTTCTTGGATGACTTTTAACGTGGAATCAGAAAGACTGACAAGACAGAATTCGGGATGAGTAATTACGCTGGGGATTCTCTGCCCGAGAAACTATATAAAGACCTGGCGCTTAACCCCGTCAAGAAAAAAGAAGGAAGGGGGGGGGGGGGGGAACATAATATGAAGAAGAAGAAATAAAGAAAACATCGTATGGCAAATCCAAATGCGCAGAAATTGCAAATCCTCGGGAGCGAATCTAGCAGCCCTGCGTTTCGGACAGAACTATACATCGCGAGCTCTGGCAAAAAATAAAAAAAAAAAAAATGAAAAAAGCGAGAAAGGTGTTCCGCTTCGGAGTTATTCTTGACGGCGGTGACACTGTCCCGAAGCACTAGGGACCGAGTTCGCTGGCTCCGGCGGCGCGGGGGCTCCCCCGAGGACGCGCCGCTGCACTCCGTCGCCTTCGCGTTGATGCGCGGGTCCCCGAAAACTGGGGACTCGGGGTAGGGGTGGGGAGTGGCGACCCGGCCCCATCAGTCCGAGGCAGTCAGGGAGTCGGATCCTTTCTTTGCATCCCCCTTTCTTCCTTCCATCCACCCCCACATACCCCCCAAATCTCCGCTCCAGTCGAGCGCAGCCGTCGCGGACCGCCGTCCGGCCGCCCGTCCCCGGGCCTGTCGCCCCCGTCCCATCCGCGCGCCCGGGCCCGACACTCACCGCTGCCGTCCTGACAGGGCGACGTCCGCTCCAGGCGCACGTGATGCTCGGCGCGGGGCAGCGGCCCGAAGGCCTGCACGCATTTGCCCGCCGCCGCCTTGCCGTAAAAGGACTCATTGTCCAGCGTCTCCATAACGTGCTCCAACGCGCCTCCCGCGCCCATGTAGAAGTCGCTGCTTTTGCTCGGCGGGCTCTTGAGGGCAAACTTCTCGCTCAGAAACTCCATAATCCTGCAGCGCGGCGGCGGCGGAGCTCAGGGGGCGCCGGGGCTCGGCGAGCGGCTGGGGGAGGGCGCGGAGGGGCGGGAGCCGGGGAGGGGGGGACGCGAGCGCTGCGGCGCCGGGAGCGGCCCCGCTGCGGCCCTTTAATCCGTCCCGGCTGCACGGAGCGGTCCGGCCCGAGTCGCTTTTATATCTTGAAACTCAGCTGGGCTCCTCGGGCAACCTCCCAGTTCTAATGAATATGAAAATCAGCCCGGCGACTAACTCCACCCCGGGGCCCCCCTCCACCCCCACACTCCCCCTACCCACCCTCCCTCCTCCCCCCCTTCCCCTACGTCCCCGGCGACGGGCGCGTCCGGGCCGAAGTTAGACAGACAGCTCCGTTGCAGACCAATGCCAGCCGGGACGAGGCCCCGACACCCTGAAACCCTGTCGCAGCCACAGTGGACTTGGCGTTTCCGAAGAGCTCGGTGAGATCGCACCGCCGTTAACCCTGCACTCCCCGAGGCCCGCCGGCCCGGCCCCCCACCCCGCCCCCCACGCCGGCCCCTCCACTCCCAGAAAGATTTAGAGGCGTCCTGAGAACTTGAAAGGCCGGAGGATGGCTTGGGGCATGCATTCCCTCCATAAAGCGTTTCTGCCGCAGCTCCGCCGGGATCCCAAAGCCCACGAAGCGGGGCACATGGGCAGCTGTGAAGTGGGACCGCTAGGGTCCAGAGGGACGCTAACGCTTTTTCCCCGCGGGAGCGCGGCGCCTAGGACCCCATGGCATATATATATATATATATATATATATATATATATATATATATATATATATCTTTTTTGCTGGATTCCGGCGGTTAGTGGACGCGGTGGCAGTGGGGTGGCCAAGAGAAGCCGGACAAGAGGCATAGAAAACCCCGATCACAGAATCACCCCCCCGACCCCCGCCGCCTCCCCAACCCTGCCCCTAGGTCCAGGACTGAAGCACTCGGTGCAGAATCTCTGAGGACAAATAACCGAGCCCCTAGACGTGTCTTCCCCGGGCTCTGCTTCTCATCAGAGGGAAGAGAGTTACAGGAGGTGCGGGGGGCTGGGGTGGGGGCGAGGAAGAAGAGGCGGCAGAAGGCCGTCGGGATGGGGAGTTCGATCAAATGCCACCCCCAGCGCCCTTGTCCAAATCGCGGGAGCCACGCGTCCTTGCCCAGCGTGTGCGGGAGAAGCAGAGCTGTCCCCGGCTGGGCGGCCGGGGCCCCCGAGTCTGAGTTCCCGCGTGCGGGCGGGGTGCTGGCCTAGCCTGCATGCGGCGGGAGAGCGCTGCGAGGCTGAGAGTCCCGCGTAGGCCCGGGGCCTGTCTAAAGCACACGGGAGTCCGCGGAGTCTAAGGGAAAGACTTTCGGAGGCGCCTGGGTCAAGGAAAGGCGGTTCTTGCAAAGAGGCCTGTCCGATTGGGGCGAGTAGCACCCACCAGCTGCTGCGAAGTGTTTCTCTTCCCCAAGGGGGCTTCTTCGACTCGAGGGTGCTGATTGCGTGACTCTCCCGGGCCTGCGCAACCCCGCGGACCTGGGGCGCGACAGTCACCTCCCCCCGACCCCCACTTCCCCGACTCTGCGGGATGACCAGGCCATCTCCAGCTCGGGTGGGTAGTACTCTGGTTGATGGTGGGTTCGGGGAAGTCCAGCGCTCCCAATGTCCTCTCCCACTCCCCCTTTTGGCTTAGCGGATGCACGAATGTACATTCGGCTGCATCGATTTTTTTGTAGGTCAAAATTGGCCATAGTCTAGCAGGAGCAATCTGCAGCCAATCTGCAGCGAGGCGCATATCGGCGTGGCGCGGTGACGAGGCCCAGAACAGGGGTCCAGGTCCTTAACCCGAGGGCACAGAGGGTGGCTCTGACCTCTACCCCGGAGAGGAGGCGCTGAGCTCCGCAAGTCACTAAAGGAGCACTCGGGTTCTGGGAGTCTTTTCTGGGATGTCTTCCTGTAAATGTCCTAAAATTACTATCTCGGAGCTCAGGCCACGGCCCCAACCAGGAATGGTTAACCCTCGAGGGGGCGCGGTCAAAGAAACACCCTCGGGGACTGCATTCCGGGGGGGCGCTGAGCCTGACTTCTGAGGCTGGGGCGAGTTAATGGTTTGGGATGCTCTCCCATCACCCCTGTCCCTTATCTTTTGCTATTCTGTCAAGTGAACTTTCTCTCATCAACCCTGGGGAAGATGAGAGACATGGTCTTGGAATCGGTTTTTCAAAAATTCACAGCAGTAAGAACATCGCCTTGCTGACTTGAGGAAATATACAAACAACTCCCAGCTATAAACTTAGTTATGTCGTAGAGCTCTGGCAGCTTGTTTATAAATATGCGTCTTAAGAGCCCCAAATTCACTAAAAAACATCCAGTGTCTTTCAAATGAAAGACACATGATGCGAGCTCCAGTGTACTTGTGCACCAATGAAGGTCCAACTTAGAGAGGAAACGACCCCGAGAGCCAAGGACGGCAGCTGTTTACTAAACCGGTTTCCACCCTATACCTCAAACCCACTTATGATGTAGTGTTTGGAGAGATGGGTGCAAAGGTGTCACAACTTCACTTAATATCCCCGGAACTTTCTGAAAAAAAGCAAATCTTTATTACACGTAATACTCTGTATTTTGGAACATGTAACCACATGTGCCCATAACAGAGGGAACAGCTAATGGCAAACTCCCATAACGAATGCTTAATCTGCAGTTTTTGGCAAGAAGCTGGGTCTCTGGTTGCCAAGAGTTGCATTAAATGGATTTTGAGAGGTTGAGATGGAGTTTATGGTAATGACAGAGCTCTAGCTATTGAAGTGTTAATAAGACGTTTTAAAATAATTCTAATTAAAACAATAATTAAATGATTTCTGGAAGTTGCAAGAAAGAAGAAATCAGATTGGAGGCCATCCCACCTTCCAAGGGATCCACCTGGGCCTTTCTGCTTGATGCTTTGAGGATAACCCTCTTGGAAATTGACCATAGCACTTTGATAAATTCTTTCAGCTACTCTACCTAGACCAAGCATGGCTCCTTCCTTCTGAGCAAGCTTTCCTTCTTCTCCATATCCTTATGCCTTTTCCTGACCCGCTCCAATTCCAATTCTGCTTGGTTAGGACCTTGGGACCAGCATCTACAAGTCTTATCGTTGGCTGGCCAGAGAGACTTGTTTATTAAACTAGGTTCCAATGAGAATTCTGTCTCAGTCACCTATACCCTTTGCTCCACCCTCCTCTTTTCACCTTGGAGAGATTCTATCCATCTGGGTTCTAGACTGAATATTCACTCACTCATCTTCAGCCAGTTAGAAAATATGCCTGAATTAAAACTCTTGGTGATAATGTTGGGAGTGGTATATGAGGGATTGTGTTGGGAAGCTCTTCAGTATATTTATACACACATATGTGTTTGTGTGTATGCATATATATATATATATATATTCATTGAGGCTAACAAGATTTAAGATTCCAGCTCTTGGTAATTTCTGGACTTGGTAAATATTGATGAATATGGGAAAACACCCTCCAAGGGTGTTAATGTGCAGATTCCAGAAAGCAAAAGGATTCTGATCCCTTTTGCCTTTTAAGTTACAAAATCTTAGCAACAATTTCTTCCCATTACACTGGCAGGATGGGGTGCTACCATAGTGTAAATTAAGGTTATTTGGTGAAGTGACTTAGAATGTAAATTCACATCTAAGATTTTTGCAACCAGTTGGTTGTTGTTAGGTGCCAAATCCCCAAACAGCGCTTTGGTGTGTTTTTAAAAAGTTCTTTATTAAATTCCCTTTTGAGGACTAGGGGACAGAAGTAAGATTAAACAACTTGAGAAAGCCACTGAAATTACTAATTTATCTATCTCCCTTCCCTCTTAAACTAAAGGTAAGTTTAGATATGTCAAATTCAGATAAAGGATTGGCCTTTTGTCAATTTGACTTATTTTACGTCTTAAAAATTCTCACGGCCTAAAAGCTGCTTGTAATACTTTCCTCCCCCCTGAGAATATATTTTGGGAAATGAAAAATATTTTGAATACATACATCAAAGCTGAAGTTGAAACAATATGTCGACTATACTATTCCTTTCTCTCTCCGTGTATTGACAGAAACTTCACACTTTCATAGTCATAGTCGAAATATCAAGATAGGATTGCAAGAATTTGAGTCTTAGCACTTTCTTTTTGCACAGAGAATTGGAGGCATATTGGTGAGTAAAGCAAAGAAAAAATGCATGCTGAATCAGATGAACTATGCCAAATGTAGAAAAGCGTGGGTCTGAGGGGAAGCTGGGTGGAGGGAAAAACTCTCATGAAAAAGTACTAAAATAATTGAATGTCATGTATGATGGCAAGAAGCCAGGTGGCCTCATGTTTGTGTGTGCCTTGCTGCTGTTTTTCCTTCCCTGGCTTCGTCTTCAGTCTTCCCACACTTCTGCAGACACAACAGATACAGAAATATATATTTCATGGAAGTAGCTTGAGGTTTTCAACAAAATAAAAATATGTGCACACCGACATTTGAGCTTTTCTTAAAATATAAGACCCAATACTTCGTCTTCTATGCCAGAGAACATTTCTACAGTCTGATAAAACATCTTGTAATATTTTGAAACTTCTTGTAGTTTAATTACAGAAGAAACTCACAAGGAGCTGAATTTTAATAAATCCTGTCAATCTCCCAAGCATGGTGTTACACAGCTCCCAGATATATTAGATTAATTTACCTTGGGTTTCAGTAATACTTATTTTGCATTTCAGAAAGTCACAGGACTTTTCAAAGAGCCCTGCTTAGTTTTCACTTCCAGCTAGGAAAACTAATAGTTATTCAAGTAGTTGTTCTTCTCTTAAAGAAATGGATTGAATTTTGGCACTACTAATGGATCTACTATAGATGTCAAAATCTAAGAACACTATTGTATTCATGTGCAAATATTTTGACATTCCTTTTTTGACACATCTAAGTGCAATTGTTTCGGTCACTATAGAAATCAATTTTATTATAAATATATCATTTGTCTTTGATTAGTCACCTTATTTCTCAATGATGTAATCATTGCCTTGAAAATTCTTAATATAATAAAA